ACGCATCTGTTGTATTCAATTTATCTTTATAAAGTTGTATACTAATACAAAATAAAATAAACGATTTTGAAAATATTATTATAATTTACATTTTTTTATAGTTAGGATTGTTTAAGGTTGTAATGTATTGAATGTCATCATATTAAAATTTTTATAAAAATCAAATTTCAAACCAGAAGTTAATAAGGTATATAAGTTAATATAAGTATATTGAAATGAGCATAGAAGTGACACAATGTCAAGGAACTCAGATGAGCTTTTAACGAAAATAACTTAAAAAATTATAATGGATGAAAAACAATCATACTTGTTCGAATAAAATATTTAAAAAATAAATATGTTAGATGTATATTTTAAAACAATACAACTAATTACAATAAAGTTTAAATTTATAGTAAAAAGGAGCATTTATAGCAATAAAATTATTAAAAAGTTAAGTATTTATTGTTAGAACTTGAGCTTTTTTCAGCAAAAAAAAAAAAAACGTAGATAAGATAAAACCCTGTCGTTACAAATAATAATAATTAGAGAAATAATTAATTTTCTTTATATTAACCATTAAAGTATTACAGTTACCTACATGAATTTTTGTTAACTACTATTAACTTAAGACAATTAGCTATTAATAACTCGTCTTATCTAACTAAAGTTAATTTTTGTGTGTGAGTGATGCAATAAATGTACTGATTTTAATAATGTGTTGATTTTTTTTATGTTTATACGTTGTATAGTAGAATTAATAAAAATGATTTCAGGGTGGTTAGTGATGATATATGATACCAAATTGGATATAGTCGCTACTTTTGTAAGGTTATAATGGGAAATTCCAATTAAATTTCTCGTATGGGAGGAGGGGAGGAGTAGAGTTGAAGGAAAAACTGGAATTTATTTTTATACACATTCACATGGTATAATTTTCAAAATATTTTTTCTGTTTTTGGGTTATTTATAGCGATTTATGTTGATTTTAATTAACATGTAAAATAATTATACCACAAACCTATCCACACCGTTCTTCTGTCAGTTGGTATTGATTTAAAAGTTGATAACCATAATATGTGGCGTAAGTATATGATATTATAATCATTAATTATGAATATAATAATAATTAATAAATGCAATATTTTAAGCAATAATTAATTCGACCTACCGTATTACAAGGTACCTAATAAGTAATAATAAAATTAATTACTACAATAGCAATACCAAAAAACAAAAATTTCATCGTGAAAAATAATTGGTATCTGACCGACAGACGGTCTCTCTTAGATTCAATAATTTATCGTTTGCAATGATTTTTCAGTCAATTCAAATTTAACACATACGTCATTACAGAGATATTTTAATCAATAACGAAGTACACTCTATACGTACAGTAGGTAGCAGAGCGTTACCTACTTTCTGACTTTCCCCCTTTTTAATATTCAGATCTAAGATTTAAAAATGTAATACAAGTTTTCTCAAGTTGATATTACTGGTAGGTATTAAAAACAAATCAGAGATTAATTGCGCAAATATTTGCAAACTGATCTTAGAGAGTAAAATAACGATTTTAGTTTTGTTATTGTAATTTAAAAAGTATTAATCGCAGAAACCCGAAAACTCCACTTCTATTTAAAATATTATTTTCTATACTTAATGAATGACATTTCAAAAATATTCAGACCTAATTTAAGTTATTTAGGCATTAAATATAGACGTTTTTACTTTTTTTTAGGGTTTTTTTTTAATTGTTGATAAAAATGTTAAGGCTAGAGATTGACAATTTAATAATATTCTACATAAGTTGTTATTTCAACTAGGTATTTAAAACTATTTTAAATACATAATTATAGGCGGATTTTTTTTTCATAACATATTTTTTTGTAACTACTCTAGAACATGAAATTAGAAATGTATGTTATCATTTGAAATCTTAAAACTACAATAACGGTGAAAATAGTAAAATATAATTTTTTTTTATAAATATTATTTTGTATAATAAGTTAAATTTTATTAAAATGTTCCAACAATAAATTATTTATTTATTTCTACTCTATTTTAAATCTACCTTATCAATAAAAAATAAATTAGATTATACAACAAATATATGTATAATCCGTATTTATAAGCTATTGTATAAAAACAAGTATATAATGAAATAATCACTAATTAATAGATAGGTTTATTACAAAAAACAAATTATTGTTCATCTAAAAAAATATGTATAGTTTCTGATTAAATTGCAGTATATTTTTATAATTATATATATTTGTATTCATATTTCACAACTCGTAAGTATGAGCGTAAGGCGTATAGCATTATTTATAATTATAAATATTAAGTACGATAGGTGTTTATTTTTAAGAAAATATGTATACGTAGATACGTACATATTTCCTATATATTATATCCATAAATTAATTTTAATAAGTTTTGTTTTACGGGTAGTTTTATATTATGTTCAAAATAAAACAATTTTAGTGTTTATAATTATACTCATAATTATTATTACTTCTACTTTATAAATACGGAGGAAATGTCTGCAAATTACAAATATTATATTCATTATACAATAATTGAACTGAATTTTAATTAAATAGGTTGTGAATTAAATTTTTTTTTTAAATTGAGATTGAACGTAAATGATAAAAAACATTATTTTATACGGGCTAAATTATTATTTAATGCGTTTTAGTTTTTTAATTTCCAGATAATCCCAGATGAAAATATTGTAAAATTACAATTAAATTTATACTTTTACTTATTATAACTATATGTCAATATCCTTTTTTTGGTTTACCCAAATTTCAAAAAATAAATAAATAGTTTTTAAATTTTTTAAGTTCATATGTAATAAAATGAAAACAATTATAATATTATAAATTCATAATGCCATACAATATAATTATATCAATTAATAAATGGAGTTTGATATCTTAACTTTTAGTACATTTGAAAAAGTTAGACCTACAGATTCATAGATTTTACAAAAATTATTTTTGTTTTTAGTTTAAGCACAAGTATAAATAAATTTTTCTATACGGTATAAAAATGTATAAATATTATTTAGAAAAAAATCGGTTGATATATAATGACAAACATTGTAGACATTCTTTATGTATCCACGGTAAATTCATAAAAGTTGTATTATGAGCCAAGATTTTTCAAGGACAGTAATAAACCAAATTATCTTATTTAAAAAAAATATTTATCGCAGGACCCATACAAATCAAAAAAAGTTATAATTAACTCTATTTATGTATTTTTCAAATAATATTTTCGAAGTATTTTTTTTAAAATTATTTTTTGTATCCAATTGCAGTTTTTTTAATTACTACAAAAAGCAAAATTATCATTATTTGTGTACATAACATACACTTATAATTTATTTTTTATTTTTGCATTAATGTTTCATACAGTCAATGTAAATACAAATGAACCTTAAGACCCCGGTCTTGCGCATATAATATTGAAATTAGGTGTGTATTCATAAAATAAATTGATTAAAAGTGTGTTTATTACAAATAATAAGCTAAATTAAATATTATCATTTAAGCAGATATCATCTACATTTAACTAAATATGTCGATTACTTTTTTTTTTTGTATTACAACATTTATCAACATGATTGTATTGAGTTTACATGACTAATGCGGAAGTAAACATTATCTCTGGTTAATGATTCACATAACTTATCAAATAAATCAAATGTAAATTTCTTTGGAAATATTCATATTCGTATGCAGCTTAAGTAAGTAGGTAAGTCTATCTCCCTCAAAAATTAAATTTTAAATTTATAAACAAAATTTGACTTTTTTAAATTCCAGATAGTCAATAATTAAGTGTTGATATAAATGTGTATAGTGAGATTAATTAAAATTAAGTCACATAAACTTAATTCGTGAACAAAAAACATAACACAATGGTCATATATAGGAAAAGCTTTTAATGGCATATTGATAAATTGATTTTTATTATTAGGATGTAAGAAACGCATATGCATATGCTTCCGTGCGTTACTCTACTGAGGAGTTAGAAAAATACTAAATTAACAGTTCTGGTAATTTTCTTTTTATCAGTTATAGTACTGATTATTAAAAAAATACGTTTGTCATGAATGTTGTCCTATTATATGTTCATATTTTATTTATTTACTCATGTTTTTGATTTTTTCGTTATTTCCTGAAAGATTATTTGGATATTCTGGTTTAACTATTTTAAAAATGGATAAAACTTAAAATTACTAATTTAAATTGGTAGTTGGTACTAGCTATAGAGATATAATTTACCTACTTTTGTTAGAACTATTATTACTACATAATTATAACTGTTATTATTTAATGAACAAAGAAATATCATATAAAATGTATTTGATATTTTTTGAACTTAATACTTATATTATACTATATTGTATGATTGTGTAATAACACATTATTAATATGGCAAATTTATTTATTGTATACTTTTATATAATATTAGTAGATTACCTTAAACCTGTAGCCTACATACAACAATCTCATAATAAATAAAAAAAACCTTGAATTTTATCTAAAATAAAATAAAATGTAGGTAAATAAGAATCTTTTTTGGCTTTTATCAGAATTTGACATTCTTTGAAATAAAAAAACACATTAGTTGAAAATAATTGATAAATTATTTCACTCCTCTATACCTAATATAATTAATTTAACTTCATATAATTGGGTACACTACATTAGGTACTATTCATCTCAATCCTAATTCAACGTATTTAAGTAAAATAATATAAAATCCTTACGAAATAGTTTTTCAAAACATGTCTTAAGAATGATTGTTAGTAAGTATGAATATAAAAATGTCGTTAACTCTTTTTATTCAGGCTATTTTGTAACTACCTACTGCAAAGCAATCCTAAATGCTATAAGCTTTTTTTTTTCTTAGAGCTTCTTAGCATAAAAATTATTGACATTATACAACGTATACAGTTGAATATAAATATTGTGTAAAAAAACGGTATTCATGTATTATCAAGAACTTACTTTTAAGCTCCAAACCTTCTCTGGTACACGGTCCTTGGTTCATAACACAGTTGAAAAGAATTTTAATAATTCGTTCATTGTTCATAACAGCTTCAATATCAATGAAGTCGTATCGAGTTGGATATGACGACGTTTCTCTGGTGGTTTTACGCCCATCGGTGGTTGGTGACACGCTGTTGTTCGCATTCTGAAAATTTTGTCCAATCCGAGATGCGATCGCAGCCTGTCCGACCTGAGGTGTGGTCGCAGCCTGTCCGACCTGAGGTGCGACCGTAGGCAGTCCAAACCGAGATGCAATCGCAGCCTGTCCGACCTGAGGTGTGATCGCAGCCTGTCCGACCTGAGGTGCGACCGTAGGCAGTCCAAACCGAGATGCAATCGCAGCCTGTCCGACCTGAGGTGTGATCGCAGCCTGTCCGACCTGAGGTGCGATCGTAGGCAGTCCGAACCGGGGTGCGATCGTTGGTTGTCCGAACCTAGGTGCGACCGTAGGCTGTCCGATCCGATTTGCGATCATAGCTGGTTGCTCAATTCGCTTGACTTGAGATATCGCAGCCGGCTGCTCAAGTCGCTTAAATAATTGAGAGTCACACATCATGGTTATATAACAAAAAACCGCTAACAAATTCATGGGTACTGTTGTAGTTACATTAAGTCGTCTACGAAATTAAATAAATAAACACAAACGTTTATTAATTGATTTTTATTTTATTATGTAGACCAATTTGTACACATATAAAGTTCTTACGACTGACGTGGGATTTAGAATAAAAGTAACGGATCGACCGATGTTTAACCGATTCGCACTTAAGAACGTCTGTTGTTGTTGAACGCGAAACGGAAACGTAGTAAAAAAAAAACGTGCACTTCTCAAGGGCACCGTCATCCTGCGCAAACATGAACGCCAGATTGTTGTTTTTAATTTCACCCGCTCATCTCCCGACGATTCAGCGATAACTAATATCCATAATTATATTATATCAACTTCTACTTCGCGTCTTCGTTCTCTAGCCATTCAGAAATATTTGGTTCAATCGCGAATGTCGTCAAAAACATTATATTTATGCGCACATTAATACATTAAAAGCTTACATAAGCTGTAAAGTATTAATTTTGTGAACGAAATTTTAGTGAAACCTTGAAGTAAAGGTTGGCCTAGGTTTTCACTTAATTGGTTCTTTAAAACATTTAGTCATGTTTTTAAATAAATACTTTAAATGTTTATGGTTATTCAAAAAATATCTTAAATTCAATCTCAGCATTAATGTATATTTATTTTAATGAGTTGATCGGCTTACACTTTATAATATGTTTAAATAATTAATCATATACAATTAAACAACTTTCATTTTAAATTACTATCTTATTTATATTATATGAATTATAAAAATACAATACAAATTTATATATATTTTTAATCATTTAAATTCTTAATAAAGTATCCATTGTGTGACTGTATTTGAGTATACAGTTACCAACTGAATTAATAGAAAAAAAAGGTTAAAAGATTTATTAGTAGGTATAAAACAATCGAAGATTTGACATTAAATTGTGATTCGGTCAGATATTATTATATTAAACAGTTGCCAAGGCAACTATTTCTGTTTCATTACTCCTACTTGGACTACTGTACGAGTCCGCATCCACTGTTTAATAATTTGATTATTTTTTCCTAAGTATGTTGCATGTAACTGTATTTAAGAAATATATTTATATAGTATTACATATATTCATAAACATAAGGTGTATAATACATACTCATTACAGTATTACACAACTATAAGTTGTTTACAAGTAAAACAAGTACATGAAAATATTTAGAATATCAAATAACAAATTTCAAATAGATATTTGAAATAATAATATTATAGCACCATGTAGGTTTTAATCGTCAAATGAATTTGCATTTCGATTTTAAATATTTTTTATAGTGGCCGGTACATAGGAGACGAAAATGTAAATAAATAAAACAATTACACAAAACCGGCCATAAATGGAAAACGCAAAATACAAAACACGAATTACACACTGCGCTGTCGATTGAAATATCATTGAAGCATCTACGTCATGTTCAAGGAACTTCAGATAGAGCCAAGCAAAACAGTGGTAGATGAATTCCTTGAGTAGTATTATGTATGAAATGAGATATATTTATTATTAATTGCATAACTTTGTAAAAATAATTTTCACTATCAGAGTAATAACTCATCTTAATCTATCTATAAGATAAATGAATAATGAATTATGCAACAGGTAATCATTTTTATATTCAGTATAAAACAGTAATAGATGAATCAGATTTATTATTTTATTTGAAATTACCCAGGTACCAGAATAAGTTTACTGGTTATTTTATAAAAATATAAAATCGTAAAAACGTCATCTTTAGCTTAAATATTTATTGTTTATATATATTATATTTTAGTAGGTAGTGTAATATATTTTATTGAAACGTTTTAAAAATATTTTTAAAACTTGACTGTTTTCAGTTTAGTAATAGTTTGTAATAATTTTTTTTAAATTATTTATTACAATTATTATTACCTATATCACATCAATAAACAATTTAGATAAATTCACTAATTAAAAACTAGTTTTTTGTTTTTTGTTTATTAGAATTGTAATTTATTTAAAATAGGCAACATTTGTACATGGTTTATTAATTAGCTTTAATAAACTTTGTTTTCGTACAAAATTACGCATCATAGAACTATTTATTGCATCATGTAGGTAATATTATAACATTAATTTATTTATTACAAAATATGCATTTCCATATTCAATATTTAAGTAAGTATATGTTTATTAACATAAATATGAATTTATTTTTTTCAATACAAACATAGAGTTTGAGTTGTAAATAATAATTTAATGACTGAAAAAAATAACCGTTATTACATATATTTTTTTTACTCGTCTAGTTTGTAATTGCCTTGTAGGATAAATAACAGTAATTTTAACTCTACTTCGTACACAAATACACAATCATAATTTGAATAGTTAGAGTCAAGGTTTCCGGGTTGCCGTAGATATAGGTGCCGTTGTTACTACCGTTCCTTTTAATTGTTGTTCGTGTTGATGTTGTTGTGGTTGGTATTGATATTGTTGTGGTTGGTGTTGATGTTGTTGTGGTTGGTATTGATTTTGTTGTGGTTGATGTTGGTTTTGGTGTTGATGTTGCTGTGGCTGATTTGGATTTTGTTGCGGTTGGTGTTGATGTTGATGTTGCTGAGGTTGATTTGGATGCTGTGGTTGGTTTTGATTAGGCTGTAGTTGGTTTGGATTAGGCTGTGCTTGGTTTGGATTAGGCTGTGGTTGGTGTTGATTTTGTTGTGGTTGGTATTGGTTTTGATGTGGCTGAGGTTGATTTGGGTTCTGTTGTGGTTGGTTTGGATTTTGTTGTGGTTGATTTGAATTTTGTTGTGGTTGGTATTGGTTTAGATTTGGGTTCAAAAACTGTTCATTTCCATTTCGCTCTATGGTATTAATATAATGCTTCATATATTCTCCATTTGGATCGAATTTGGCAGCTACTTCTTTTAATATATCCGGTTGGTGGTTATTCAGGTAGCACATCATTTTTTCAATCACTTTTCTTTGTAATTCGGTACAATGTGCGCAATCATTTTGGATAGCATCGGGAACCATTCCTGCTACGACAAAAAGTGTGTTTAATCAATTTAATTATAGTAAATCGCTGTTTAAGTATCGAATAATATGACTATAAATACAGTATTTATAGTATTTATGATCGATAGTAGGTAGTATCCAGTAGTAAGCACTCATGTGTCTTGGGGGAAAGGGGTTCTGGGCTCCTAGCACCCCTGAATCCATGTTTGAGATAACTTATACAATTATATGAATATATACACATACTTATAATAATTTATCATACATTATAATTCTTATAAATAAATCTGAAAAATAAATGTCATAAAAGAATTTTTAACTTTTTTTATGCTACAGAGTAAAGCAAGATATAAGCTTTGTTTATGTTAAAAACAGAATATTTTCATTTTTTTTTACAGAATGTATATTTCAAAAGATTTATAATATTATATGATCAGGAGAAAATCAATATCAATTTATTAAAATACAGTATTTATGTTTTTTCTACTTTAAACAAAACAGGCGTAGATGCAAAAGGGACAAAACGGCCTAAGCTCACACCCATTTGGAAATGTTAAATATTATCTATTTATTTATATAATGAATAGTTCATATTATACTTCTTAATATCCATACATTTAAAACATCAATAAACTTTAATATTATTCTGAAATCTTATCAATAATGTTATTTGTAATCTATTATGAACAAACTATAATTGTATTTTTTCTGAAAAAAGTTGCCCCTCCCTCCATTTTATATTTCTAGATCTACATCATATGAGTTTTTTGTTATTTTTTCATTTTATATTTTTATTACAACTATATAGATAGGTACTTAAGTACCTAAATAATAGTGATATTATATAGAATATTGCAAAATTATTTATATGACTTAACTTCCTAGGTGACTACGACCTGGTATACCCCATATGACCATTTCACTTTGGGGATATTATGTGAAAATTACATTGTACCACCATTATTATCAATGACATGTAGGAGCTAAAAAAAATATTGGAGTCGATTACAACGGATATGTATGGAATCAATATGAGTTCCTTCAGTTGTTAGTGTGACCAAGAAAGCCACTCATATAACAAAATCAAATGGCACTTAATTTAATAAAAACGAAAAATGATTATTTTATTTAATGTTTCATACGTTACTTTAAATATGAAAATTAAAAATATATAAGCATTTAAAATTGGATGAATCGTTTTTAATAACCCTGTACATTTAGTAGTAATATGAATATGCTTATAAAATTGTACATGAAAGACATAACGCATATAATTATATAGTTAAAAATTACAGTTTATATCAGGAAATGATTTGTCATTGTAGAAAAATAATTGGTAGGATGAAAAATATAAGCTGAACAAATTAGAAGGGATAGTTTTTCATCAACTCATAGACTATTGTTGAAAATCGAGTGTAGTTGGTATTTATAAAATGTTAATTCTGATTTTCTCATTGGAAACTAAAACGCTATCGTCCAGACATGCATTAGAAAAAAAATTACAGACAGATTGCAAAATATTCAGATATTTATGACTTATCTATCCTGAATAGTTGAAACCATTGTTATAGCTCAAGGAAAAAAACCAGTACAATAGGATTGCGGATTCTTCGCCATTAAGTTGGTATCTATTAAGTGACCTATCCATCCAATATGAATGAGTTAAATTTGAAATCAATGATAAATCTTTGAATACAACCAACAATTCTAAACGGAAACAGCGTGTCAGCTCTCAATTTATTTCTAAGGACATTTAATAATGTATTTATATTACTATCATTAATTCATTTTTCTATTAGTAATAACTAAAAACTAATAAGGTATGTTGAACTAATTTTTGATAAAAATATGAAATATGTTATAAAATAATTATTATAATATTAAATGATTATTATTAGGAACCTAACTCATTTGAAGCTATACTATTACAGCACAATACTTATTTATCATATTACAGTAAAATAAAAAAATAATAATAATACAAAATGTTTAAACTATTTGTAATAGTGTGAATTTGTTTGTCAAAAATGATTGGTTTTACGAAGTTTAATATAAATTCAATTACAATAATTAGTTGTTCAATATGAACATTAATATTTACTATTGAATCATTACACATCTATTAAGGTTAAATTATAATTTTACTCATAACCAAAACAAATAGTAATGCATTTTAGATAGGTACTGAACGGTCCGATGAATGTATTGATTTAACATTGATTTATGTTTGTTTTTGTCTTAAATCACCTTTTGCGGCAGTAAAAAATATAATTCGATTTTGAACATCGGGATGGTATCTGCTAGCAAATGAGATCTAGTTGATACTTTGGTAGGTCAAAAGTAAAAAATGTCTAGTATTTTCAAAATAATCGGCTAACACGAAGACAAATAAAAGAAAAACGGGAAGTTTTAGAGCAAAACAAGTATTCAACAAAAATTATTTTGTTTTTTGGTGTTACTTAAAAACGAATGGGCGAAAATACTTATACTTCACCTGCAAATGTATATAATGTTATAATCCCCTAAGTCTGGTATAGTTTTCTAAATATTTTGACTACTTTAGAGCTATTTATAAACATTTTAAATTAAAATTGTTTTCTATAAATGTTGGTATAACATCTTTCGTTTGATCAAAATGATTTCAAATTTAATACAAAGTTCCTCGTAGGGTTGAGCTATTTAAAAATATTTAGGATACATACATTTTATTCTAGAAAATTTACAAATAATTTTGTACCTAGTTAAAAAAATGATAAATTGTTCCAAATTTTATAGCTAGAATTGAAAAATTAAAACAAGGTTTATTATGAGTAACTCATAATATACTGACCATAAAAGTCTTAAAAATAAAATTTTTTTAAATTTTTTAGTTAGCATTTTAAGTTAAAATGTCGGTTTAGTTAAATATTTAAACGAAGAATAACGATTTTACCTATTTTGTTGTATTTTAAAATATTATTCTTGAATACTTGAAAATTTGAACGTATCAATCTATTATTTTATCATATTTTAAAAACACAATACCATTTTCAAACTCAATGTTTTCGGCAAAAATTAAATCTTTCTACCGTATTACTAATAGTTAAATAAATTACTTAAGTAAAAAAAAGAAAATAAAGAAATATTTACATCGTAAAATAGATATACTTAAATAAATTACTTAAGTAAAAAAAAAAGAAAATAAAGAAATATTTACATCATAAAATAGATATACTTATACTACTTAGTACTTAATATACCTATTAATAGACTGACAGACCGTCTGAAATGTCGCAATGATTTAGCATTTAGTTCACATCTAATACATACAGTGTATATTAACTCTTCAATATGACAAGGTACACTCGACACCTACTGTAGGAGCAGAGTAGTTACCTACTTTCCCCCTTTTTATATTTAATATTATTGTTTTAAGTTTTTCAATAAATGATAATGTATACTTACGTTTAATATTTTTAGCTTCCGGACTGCACGGTCCATTATCCAAAAAGCAATTGAGGTAATTTTGACGAATTTTAGGATTCCCCACCAGTCCAGTCGTAAAGTGGTCAACTGCAAATTTTTGTTGTTCTTGCCTGCGATTCTGTCCGCCGTCTATTCGTTGTTCTGGCATTGGACCACACTGCACCATTGATACGAAACCCGAAATAATCGCAATGGAGACCAGCTTGAACATATTTTAAGTCGTTTAAGACAAAAAAAACTATTCAGTTGGAAATAGCTGTTAGCTGGTTTATTCTTGTGATCAAGATAAATTATGCGATCTATCGATAGATACGCTGTACTTTTAAACGTAATGATTTGTCCGGAAGTTACCTCTTTCTATACTTGGGTTTCATAGTTCACTGAAGACGGAAACAATCCGGAACTGATTAACCGAAACTCGACTAGTCTTTAATGTCGGAATAAATAGTGAATACTGAATATGGATAACTATGAGAATTCATTATGTGTCACAACGTTTACAAATCACTATTTTTAAGACATATGTTTTGAATTCTTGAAGTGCATTAAATGTAACAATAAACCTTCTAATTGTTACACCTATAGTTTTGCATGTTATACAAAATAATCGAGAGTAAAATCAAATAAAAAAATTAAAAAACCTTGAAGTATTCTCACGGCGTATCTAAAACGAATTTTCCATAAGATTCCTTGACCGAATTTACTCCTGTTATAATAATTTTACAGATTATAGATATTTTTAGGTTCTGGTTTAGTACGTTGTTTTAAACGATCCAAGTAAGTACTTTTTATTTTATAGTCATCATTAAATTATTTTTATCATATTTGTATGGTTTTAAAATCTAACAGCTAAGTATTCTTCAAAACTACAATTACCTTGTGTCATAAAGTAGGTCCTCCTACTTCAATAATTGTAACATAAAGTGCATATTTTTATGAAATATTTTAGTACATAAAGCAATATCACGGTAAGTGCTGATAATACAGTGAGATATGCAAATATTTATTTAATTAATAAACACAAACAAGATAAAATCAGTTTAAGTCAGTTAATTAATTAAATTGTTATGACTTATTATAGCCTTTTTAATTAATGTTATAATTTGTGATCATAATACTCTTATGTCTGATTTTATATTTATTATATGATACTTGCCTTATGCCTTGATATTGTTTCACAATAAATCACTTAATCTAGTGAATAAAAATATATTTATTGCTAACAAAGAATATTATTTATAAGAAAAGTAAGTCAAGTCAAACTGCAGTAAGTTGATGTTAAATATTATTTATGTTGTGTAAAAAACAAAATTTTAAGTTAATATAATATTATTCCTATACTTAGCTATTATTTATACAATTATTAAAAATATATTATGTTTAATAAGTTTCAATTACAATTTTTAATATTCTGGTTTATTTTAACTTGATTGGTCTTAATTCTGTATTTACAACTTGAACATTAGTGCTACATGAATTAGCATTATCATTACATACTAACATGCCTATTAATAGTATTGATATAAGTTAAATTTTACATATGAATGAATAATAATAATAAGTAGAACAAACTTGTAGTTCAGGTTAGAGAAATTTAAGACTATAAAATAAATTTTTTTACATTTATATTTCAATACCTATTTATGGCTTATTTAGACTCTGTGTTATAAAGAACCTATTGTTGTACCTTTAGTAATTATTTAAGAGAACAATAATTATTGGTACATAGGTTCCAACAACTAAACTAATAAATATTTACCTAGACAGCCTGGATTATCTAGGCTCTCTGTATGTACCTATAGATAATATGCATAATACTAATAAAGACTTTTTCAATAATCTTCTTCAGCTGCAAAGTCTAATGTTCCGCTTGTATGATAGTTTGCAATTATTACGGATTAATTACAATCCTACAAGGTAAGTCAAAAATAGTATTCCACAAATTTGAATACCTCTATTAATTTAATGAAATATGAAAAATACATAGTTATAAAAATCATTGCGCACAGTAAAGAACATAATTATTTTTCCAGTAAAGAAACGATCATATATGTTCAATGTGGCCACCTTGTGACTCTCGAACGATATCTACCAGGTATTCTAATTCAATTCCCACTAGGTATCTGCAACATAATATCAGGCGTGAAAGTTTCCATTGCCGCAGTTACTCTTCCTTTGAGATTATCAATGTTTTTTGCCTTGTTGGCGACATATTTCGGCAACTGTGAACTAAATGAAACTTTGGAACTTCCCAAACACAATAAAAACAAGACTAGTGCCCTACAAAATTCGGTTACCGTCACATGAATTTTTGTAGTTGTGGTATTCTTTTTGACTCGCCTGTATATTTAAAATAGTTACATCATTTATAACTTTTATTTAGATTTAAATTTTTTTCATAACTTAAGTAAGCTTTTTATATTTCCTTTCTAAGGCTTCTTAATTGGTGTCATGGTGAAATAGTAGCTAAGAACGATCACCGGAATATAAAATAAAGACTTTGTAAAGCAAAAAAAAAATGATATCAATAGTATCGATTGGAAAACTTTATGGCTTATAAAATATTATCATATCTATGAACTATGAAGTATAGGTATGCGTGCTTAAGTATACTATGTTTAATCATACATTTAATACTTTAAACCAAACCAGATATTAAATGGTTATAATATATCATTTTATGTTACATTGTCATAACCTACTCATTAGTGTCAACAACCAACAGTATATTACCAAAAAAGTAGGTAACAATAACAGTGAAAGTGCAGCATACTATATAGTACTTCTATTTACAATTTACAGTTAGGCCTCCAAACCTAAATTTCAGCAATATTTAGTACTTTTCTTATTGAAATAATAACCAATGGATATTTTAAGCCCTTAAAGTTAGGGCTAGTTAATTATATGAATTTCAATAATTTGAAAACTTAATTTGTCGAAAACATAATATTTTAGTCTCGCACATTCATTAGGTATATATTTATCAACCCGACTAATCACAATCTAATCATACGGCCTAATCATGATTTCCTCTAGGGCCTAGATTATCAATTATTGATTAATACGTGTGTCCATAGCACGTGTGTGAATATAAATAAGAAGTTTCCCTGAAAATATATTAATATGATTGTTTTTTTTTTTTTATTGGATATTGAGCATCGAAAACTATTAACATTTTGTGTAGGTTACTGTTAGTTTTAGGAACGCATGTTTATGTGAGGCGATGATTCGTCACAAAGAATCTGGGTGGTCACCTATCCTGGATCTTGAGACGCCGGACGATGCTTGACCGCAGCATACATTGCGGCCAAAAACCACACCACACCTGGCTCCAATATATTTTTATTTTATGTGATATAACTGTTAATGAAGCTGAAAATCTACTGTAGGAAACTTAAAAAAGAACCTTTATTTTGTAGTATTTTAGTATGATCTGTGTTAACTTTTCAGTCTATAAGTTTGCTGCGTGTAATTATGTTATTTTAAACAAGTTATTACACGTGTTATCTAACATTTGTATAATACATTTCCTTTATCATTGAAATACTGACGAATATCTCGCTATTCGTTCCAAGACTCTGAGAAATTGAATCACTTTAAATATACCGCTTAGAGCAAGTGTATCCTTAGGGCTTAGACCCTATCAGAACATTCAAAACACATCTCTAGAAATACATATTAAAAATTAATTGACAGTACTTACTATAATGAACAATTCTCCACAACTCTTTTGTTCAATACAAAAGTATAAGAGAGAATAGTGTTTATAGTACATAGTAAAATATTGAAAGTATACAATTAACATTTAATAAAACTATTTAGGCAGAGATAAGTAAAACTTATAGAATATGCTATGAATGTGCGATGTCCCAAAAGCTCCTCCTCCTCCCTATGAATTTAACTACCTTTTTTAATGATTTTAGTTAATATAAAAATTCAATAATTTCAAATGTAAAAATTATTAAAAAATTATAATAACAAATAATATAGTTTTAACATTGATACTTTAAATAGGTAGTGCATACAAAGTTGTGATATATTTATTATTACACCTAAGACAATTTTAAAATTTTAGAATACTATTTAGTATTTTATAAATAATATACTACTACCAAGGAAGGTACTAATTACTAATGAGTAATGACAAAACTAAAAACAAAATTTGATTATCATCTCATATATTTTTTTTTTGAAATGTATAAATAATAAATGTTACATTTAAAAAAATTATAAAATATTGTATAAAATAATATAATAAGTGTGAATAAATAAGAAGTATTCATGAAACGTGCCATTGTATAACAAAAATAAATCCCTTGTTTGTATTAATTATAAATAACACAATAAATTATTATATTATTTTTAAATTAATTTAAACATCAAGGTTCAATTTCTTTGCCTCTTCCGAATAACGTTGTTTGTAGAGTCCTTGGGGGTCATATTTTTGTTCAAGTTGTTTCCACATATCATTTTTCTTTTCAATTAGAAACTTAATAATTTTTTCGGAACCAATTTTTTGTTTTTCCGAACAGTTTTCACATTTATTCTCTATTGCTTCTGGTAACCACCCTGTAATCATATTACGTACAAGTAAAATATTAATAAATACATTTGATAACATTAACACATTATTATTTAATATTTATCATAGTTAAGAATTTATAAGTCCATAAAAGTTCCTTTGCTTTTTAAGCTCAAAAGAAGAATGTCGAATTTATTTTTATTTTTACAACCAACCGTAAATAATGATCAAAATAATCAGAAAATAATTAGGTACACCCTCATTTATTTAACATAAAATAGATACTATTTTTTCAAAATGTATAAACATATAATATTTTATTAACCAATAGAGTTCAATTGAAATTAAAAATTGATAAAACAATAACAATAAACAAAAATATTGTAGTGTATCATATGAGAATGACAAATCGTATTAATTTAATTGTTTTGGGTTAATTGGTCGGCTTCTTTCTGATACGCCTGGTTGATCGCCCCATGCATTTCCGCTATAGTGCCCATTAATTCAGGAGGCATATACTGAAATGTATTAGCAAATGCTGCATTCAGAACTTTAACTCCCACGTCTGTAAATAACTTATTTATGATGTATATTTTACAAAATAATTATTATATGATCTATAGTATGTACAATTAATGAACAAAATGGAAACTTAGTCAAACTACTTTTTATTCATATTTCAGTAGAACATTCGTTGGCATAAGACATAACTTACTATAATTAAGCTATAGGACCTATTTATTTATCTTATTAAAACAATTATTCTTCTACTTAAATTTCATACCTAGTATGTATTGTTGATTTCGTAGAATTGAGTGGGTCAAATTTATTTTTTAAAGAACAACTGATCAATTACCAAGCCCAACTATGGGTTTTGAGTGAAAATAAAAATGAATACAAATGACAAATCACTATTAAAGTAAAAGTAATTTTACATAAATATAAATTATCTTAAAAGGAAAATATAACCACTTTTATTGCAGTCTATGCTATAAATCTAATTTAACTGTACCTACTCATATATTTTCATCAATTTTTTCAACTGTAGAGATAAATAATATAATACCTATGTTTTGGATTCACAAGTATAAACATTTATTGAGAATGATAGGCTCACATCAGTTAACTTTGTGTCTATAGTTTCATTCTAGATATTAGCGCATTGTAATTGTAGCTATATTTTAATAGTATATTAGTATTTAAGTACGTATGTAGCTCAACAAACGGTCTTCGATTTGATTAAAGAAAATACTATTATGAAAAACGACATATTTAACTAGTCAAGTATAATTTATTTTCACCGTTCGTGGATAATCAATGTGCAAGTAAACAGAACATAGCTTATAAGTACTTACGTTTAATTTCTTCGCCTTCTGGTGTACATTTTCCGGTTTCCATCAGACACTTAAAGTAGCTGGCGACCAAGCGGTCGTTGTTCAGAATGTCATCGATATTTACGTTGTCGTACTTAGTAGTATATTTAGCAGGTGCTGTCTGGACCACAGTCATCGTGATGGCGATGCAAAGAGCAACTGCTAGGAGAAGTGTGTTCATTTTGATATGTTATGATTTAATGTATTGTACTCAAAAGCGAAAAACGTCTTATGGCGTTCAGAAATGAATTGTAACTTGATGAACAGTTTTCCATTATATATAGCTGCCACAACTCAATGGCAAAGACATAATATCTACATAATATTTTACCATGACGTCACATACTACGGGGGCTTGTTAGTGAGCTAAACGAACCGAATCGAATACTTTTTGGAATTCCCCTCTACTGCGTACATGGCACTGGACATACATATCTGCAGAGTATCAGACGCATTTTCTTTCCAATCTAATGTGGCAGTGAACATTTCCACCTTGGAAATTGTTTACTCCGGTCACACGTGGATAAATAAAGTATTAATCCTAAATAAAAGTAACCTAGACTAATCCACCCATGTACCTACTAGGATTTTTAATTCATGGACATTGTCTAAAACATAAATTTATTTCTAGTAAAAATAAAATAATAACCATTGGATTCTTCGAATATAATATTAAATTAAACATGAAATAATAATATACTAGTCCTGAAGATTTAATACAGACTATTTCCTTTGTACTATTTTCATATTTTCTTCTTTATTATTGTGCTGTTTATTGCAATTTTATTAAAAACTCTTAAACAATTTAAAACCAAACTTTTCAGAATTATATAAATGTTAGTATCTATTCAATTTACGGCATTACAATAGTGTCTCATTCAATTTATTGACATTTTTATTTCCTAAAAAGAGTAATTTCCAATTGGTTGTCGAATAATTATTATAATTTTGGTACACGATCAGAGGACATCCATCTGAATTAGTTATTTATGCATGTAATAACAAGGGCATGGATTTAATTAATAAATATGGTTCTTTTTCGGAAACATTGCTTTCCAGGCTCAAAAGTCATATCATACATTAAAGAACTCAAAAACAAAACTCTTATTTTGCATTTTTTAGACTGTAAGTATAATTTATAAAAATGGATAAAATTGTATAAAATTGTATCATGAACCACACAATTAAAAAGATAAAAATTAAACGGTGTTATTTATTTTGCTTTGTCTTATTATATTTATTACCTAGGTATGTTTTTACTTATGTATCAGACAAAATTGGCAACAGCTACAAAACGGTATGTCAAAACACATTTTCCTATGCGAAGGCAGATATATTTTATACGAGTGTAATAGTATTTTATTTTTATTCTGGCCAATTTTATTATTATAATAATATATAACTTGGTAACTTATTATTTAAATTTAATATAATATATCTAGACAGGATTATATTATACAGAGACTGGATAGCAGGTTAGATAGCAGGATATATATTGGCACTTGTTTTACATTATTCACCTTGGAGCAGTTTTATAGAATACTTGTTGGATATTTCAGTATTTGAAAGCAATGATCTTTCATTGAATTTTAAAAACTGGATTTTAAACAGAGAATAAACTGCTTTACTAGTTTCTCCAGTGTTTTTAAGACAAGTATTATTAATACAAATTAATGATTGTATAATTTTCTTTAACTTTGATAACAAATATTCTCGGTATTTTGCTATTTTTGTATTTTTTTGAAACGTTTTCTCCTACAACTTTCTTCTTTGTACACGATACGATAAATTTGTAAATTAGTTATCTATAGTGTTTATAATCATTTTATAGGTAAAAACACCACGGAATTTAAAATCAACTTTTTTATTACCTGTTAAATTATATTTTCGAACCGTGTTTACATTGGCCCACTCAAAGACGTAGTGTATTAATTGCTGCATAAGTACTACATGCGTCATAGAATAACTTAAATATTAAGCATGTAATAAATTCAATAGCTAACTTGCGTCTCACTAGCAGCATTGCAGGACGCAAGTTGACAAAAGCAATTAATTCAAATTATAACCATCAATTGTACATCAAAAGTACAGGCAGCCGTATGTTTCGAACATAATTTCTAAAATCTTTTACATTTAATCCCACAGTATAAAATATTTGTATGGCAATTTAATTAAAATTATTCTGATTATTATTTATTTATATTAAAGTTTCATAGTAAGTAAAAAATATATTTCAAATTTCAAAATGTTGACCTGTACGGCTGTACCTAAAAATTACTTAATAAGTAGGAATTTACTAAGAATGGACATAAATACTATTCATTTTTTCGAACATATTTTAAAAAAATTTTGTTATAATTGTTATGATCGATTTGTGTTCGTTTTGAGAAATTATAGTCATAGGAAAAACAAATTATGATGTATATTATTCTGTTTGTTAAATTATATTAGATCTTTATGACACCACATTTTATACTCTATAGCTATAAATACTTATATCTTATATCAATAGTTGGAGATATAACGAGATTTTATAATAGGCACTTTTGGACTCGTAAATGGGGCTCATGAAATTTAATGAACCTTTCTTATTTGATCTCAAACTTACATACTAATTATTATAATTTCCGACGCAAGTAGCGTGCACCGGGCGAATGTAAGTTACTACACGAGACTTAGCAAATAAAATAATATGTATGTAAGTTTTTACACGGTAAAAAAGTTGCAAAGATTATTTCCTACACAGTAAAAAAAAATAATTATGTTAGTTCACACAGAAATCGTTTATCTATTAGATTCTAATAATTAGAATATGGTAATATGGATTAGGTGTTTGTATTTATTGTTTTTATAGAAAATATTAAATACATAATATATATTATTAAATTACCTATTTAAATTATTATTATTATTAAATAATATTTTATTTATTAATTTATAGTCAAACTGATGGCAATGTCTTGACAAAAAATGTATAATACATTAATTCATAAATAAATTGAATAAAACAATATTTTAAAAATTAAATGTAGTCAGTCGAATGGATGTTAATATCTAAAAAAAAACAATTAATACTAATTATTGCCTTGTATGAACTTATATCTTTTAAGGGCAAAGTTTACATTTCCCGGACTATATGTGCACTTTGCCCAGTGTTTTGGGCAATACATTAAAATACTATATTGGTCGGACAGAGTTATACTTTGACAAGTCAAAGTATACTTGCAACTCAAAATGTCATTCTAATGATAATTGTAAAAATAAATTGTTGGTGTGACGATGGATAGCTATATATATTTATATTTGATGTAATTCTGACCAAAGATTAAGAATATAATGATAATTGTATGAATAAATAGTTACGATAATAATATTCAACTAATAAAGTAACTAATAAGATTAGTGAGATTATAAAGGTTTATAATTATAAACTAAAGACTTTTGGCTTATATTTACCAAGCTAGACTGGGCAATTCTATGTAGCCTTTGCAATGCATAATTTTGCCGACATTGCCCATCGTAATTGGGCTGTACCATAATGCCCGGGCAATATAAACATTTCCCGAAGGTCTGCTTTGTCCATAACATATACACACCATTTTTTCCGGCATGTAGGAACTGACCAGATTATTATGTACCTTTTTACAGTGTAGGAACTAAGTACTTACACATCTCAATTTCATATTAATGTAAGAATTTACAAGTCTAATTTGTAGGAATTAACGTATATACATTTTTACCTGCTATTCTATTGTAGGAACTTAGTATTCCTCTGTGCGCCAAATAAATTCTCGCAAAATATTTAAAACATTAAAAAAAATTGAATGCCTTAATTAAAATAAACTGTAGGTATACATTTTTTTAATATAGGTATTTGATTATTCAAATGTATACATATTTTGTATCATATATCTACATTTACATACACTTACATTTGTAACAAAAAAATAAGAACTCGTAGGTATGTTACAAATACTTAAAACAACAGTTTAAAAATTGCTAAATACACAATATAGTATTATGAACAGACATTGTTCGTGTACAACTTCAAAATTTTAATCAAACAATTTTGTCGTTGAATTTTGGACCAGTAGTGAATTAGATATGAAGAACGGAGTGCAGGAGTGGCACAGATCCGTACAATATATCCTACAAATCTTAACTTTGATTACCTACCTACTTATAATTTATAAGCTACTGGTTCAAATTTTCAGAAAAATATTCTGCATAGGAATATGAAATTAAAAACGTATGTTATCGCAATAAAGATAAAAAATAGTACCCAAACAATTTTCTAATATGTATTCAGTTATGTTAAATATTGATTTTTAATGACTTAAATTATGTAAAATACTATGTTATGTTTGCTATTAATAGTAAAAGTCACCCATCATAGAGTTAATAGTTTAATACAAATATTCAATTTTTTTTTTTTAAATTTTTTTTCAAAAAACTCTACATCTAAGGCCATTGGCTGCAACAATTGTACAAGGTTACATTGTATTATCTTAAAATACATTAATATTAGTACAGTAGTAACAAATTATTGATATTAATTAGACTTAATTATAAATGTAATCGTGTTATTTATGTTGTCTAGATGGAGGGCTTCAGAGAGGATGTCTGGTACTCCTGCTTCCCGTTTATTCATTTCCTACAGGAGGAGAGACATTATATTATTATGACATGTTTCATCGAGAGAGGTGCGCCACAACTGGTACATACAGGTAAGTCTCCCCTCTTCATCGGATACTGATGGGTTTGGGATGTGTGTCCGATTCGCATTCTGTTGATTAACGTTTCTATTTTTCTTGAGATGTCCGTTGGCTAACGCCATACGGCGATGGTGTTTTTAATTTAATTTAGTTTTAATGAACCTTGTGACCAAGCTCATAGCCATATGTTGTTCGGAATTATTTGTATTATAAAATAAATGATTATGCGTGACATATGTTATCATTGAACCTGGTAATGTAATAAAATTCATCAAATACATATAAAATATTACATTTATTTTATTATTCAATAACCAGCAGGTCTTTTTTTGCATATAAATGTGTAAAAATTCAAAAATGTTAAATGTGTTTTCCAACAATTAAGAATACTATCAATACTATTGTTAATTTTTGTACTTATTTTGATAAAATGTGTAATTCTTGGAGTATAAATATTATTAACAATTAATTAAATCATATTATAATAGTTATTACCTTTTAAAATAAACTTTATACAAATTAATGAATTATAAGGTATAGAGTGAAGACTATAGGTAACATTGT